AACGTAAGCGAAAGGCGCAGTAGGATATAATTTGAAACAATTTTATAAATAAATGAATAAATAAATGAGCGAGTAAATAAATAAATGGATGAATAAATAAAATACGACATTCAGTCCCGACACAACAGTCGGGACCTCATATCCTTTTTCTCAAAGGAAATATAACTGAAAATCCGGTCGACCGGTGACAGAGCAGTGCAACACCACCGGTCAACCGGTGGTGTGCAATCTGGTCGACTGGATAGGTCGACCGGTGGCCTCGGTATAGTCCGGCCGACCACACAGGTCGATCGGTGAAGAACACCAGTGCGAGAAAACTCACAAAATTAGTTTGAAAACCTATAAATCTAGTCCCAAATTAAAATATCTCAAGGGACAACCACTATATCCAGGTTCTAGGTCTTAAAACAAGTCCAAAGAACCTAAGATCTCCAATTTCTACCCTAGTTTTACTCAAAATCCATCAAAATCCGTTTTAAACCAAAATAAGTTTTGAAATATGAAAAATCTGAGATTCAAGAGAGATTCTTTCAGTAATCTTACCTCAAATCCTTCTCTTGATGTTGAAAACTTCTTTAAATCTTTCTTTGGTTCGAATCCGGTTTTGATTTGAGGCAAAATGGGAGATTTTTGAACGGGAAAGGGAGAGAGAGTGAGAACAAGAGTGAGAGAGAGAAAGAGAGAGTGCACGGGAAGGAAAGAGGAAAAAGGGAAAGAAGGGAAAAGAAAAGAAAAAGGAAAAAGAAAAAGAAAATGGACAAGTGTCACAAAATTTAAAATGACAGTCCAGAAATGCGCCCATACACACTTTTGGGTTAAAATAAAATTACTGAGAATATTTAAATACCTTGGAATTATTTAAATTACACTAATAAATCTCAATTACCTTAATTAATCACATTTAATTCTCCGGGGTGTTACAACTGTAAATATGAATACTTTTATGATAAGTATCCACAAGTGGATAAACACATGAATATTAAGATTAAGAAATGAAAAAGAATTGAAAAAATCGATTCTAGAGTTTTATAAATGATCAAAATGAAAAACTGACAAAAATGAGGTTCGAAAGGTCGAACTAAGAAAATTGGGGTTTTTGACTGATTTGAGTTGACTGAGTCAAATTTTTTTACCAAGAGTCAACCAATAGGTCGTCTCAAAAAGTTAATCAAGAATAATCAAAGTTGACTAACTGTCTGAAAAAGACAGATAAAACACGTACCAGACAAGAATTAAATGGAACCGAAATGAGATAATCACTAAAATAATGAATGGTTGGGATTAAAAGCGATTAATGGATGATGGGATAAAATGGTGATATGTGGAAAGAAGGACGTGGATGGCCAACTTAAGGATGAAGAAAAAAAAAGATATTTTTAGTGAATTTTGCAAAAAGGACCCTAGAAATGTCAAAATTTGCACTTAGGCCCCTCCTACTTTATTAGGTCATGTTTTTAAGTGGTAAAAACACAACAAAATGCTCGTTTTTTCATGCCAAAAAACCAGAGAGTATTCAGCCAAGAGGGAGGAGAGAAAAAAATTCACCAAAGTAAGGAAAAGCGAGTTCTAAGCGAAATTGTTAAAGTTACCGAGGATTAGTGTCTCCAGAACTTGTTCTTCATTCTTCTAAGGTGAGATTTTCATTTTTCCCTCTCATTTTTTCTACCTTGGCTGCACATTTGAGTATAGTAGAACGCATGAAAAAAAATTTCTTAAGATGATGATCCGCATGTGAATGTTAAAGGAATTGAAACTCTAGTGATTAAAGGATGATTTCTTGGTTATTGGATTATGTTTCTAGCGTTTTGGTTATGAAGAATTCTTATGAGAATTTGGATGAAACCCTAGAGTGATGATGAAATTGAATGAGAAAGATTGTGGTTTGTGATTAAAAGGTTGAAACAATGGATAAAACGAGATATAGTTAGCTCGGGAAACATGGGAAATTAGGCAGAACTCCACCAAAATTTAATTTGAGGATTTGAATCCAACCCGATTAGAATGATGAATAGGAAGAATGGGATGTGTAAAATAAGTTGATTAAGTGATCAAAGAAGTATGAAAATTTAAAACGACAAAAATTCACAATTTTAGACCTAAATTGAAAACTAGGTTAATGGCCGAAAATTTGATTTCAAAAAGTGACCAACCTTAGGTTGAAGAAAATTTCGTTATGACCAACTTTTGTTAAATAGTATTTTTCTCAAAAATGACTCTAAACACTAGTTTCAAGTTGATTTCCAAAACAGGTCCAAAATGATGATTTTGGGCAGAGTATGCACGAGTTTAGTGCATAATGTGGAGATAAGAGATAATTGGTTTGGAAATCGAACATGTTAAATTGTAGATCTTCATGAGTCAAATTCTATTTCTGTTATTGGTCTTAGATTTTAAATCTAACGATCAGAATTTCCATGTAATAGGCTTGGTAGACGATTGAAGTCGGAGTGCTTCGGGTGACTTGAAGGTCAGAACGTTAGCGGAACGCCTGTAAGTATCAGTAGTTCTCTTTTGTCTACGTACGAATGAACTTATTCCTTTGTATTTTTACACATAAATGTGCATATTATAGGATCAATATATATTAGAATGTAAATGATGTTTCTTGAATGTTATATGATGCTAGGAATGTACTTGCGGACTTTAAGTAGTAATAGAATTTTTAGTCTGCGAAAAGTCTGAGTCAAAGTCAACAAAAAGTTAAACATTCATAAAAAGTCAAATTCTATATAAAATAGATAGAAATGCTTAAAAATGCAAAACAAAGATCAAAATTACTGTCATACTGAGAAAAGATGACAGCAAAATGATGAACAAAGAAATGATGATAAAAGTAAAGAAAAAACTAAAATTGATTGTACCGGCCTCCACAGAGAGAGGTGATTATAAAACCATGAGTGATTAGTTATATTGGGTCGCTCCCCCACTCCTCATTGGGAATGTGTGCAACGGTACAATGGGACGGGGCTCATATTAAGTAAAAGACATGAAAATTACATACGACCAACGCTCCACAAGAGAGAACGGAAGTCGTAAAGAAGTACGAAATGAAAAGAAAGAAAATGTGATATGACCAATGTTCTGCATGAGAGAATGGAAGTCGTAAAGAAGTATGAAATGAAAGAAAAGAAAATATGATACGACCAACACTCCACATGAGAGAATGAAAGTCGTAAAGAAGTATCGAATGAAGAAAGAGAAAACATTATATGATGAACATTCTGAATAACATAACAAAAATTGTAAAGATATGAAATGAAGAATAAGAAAGCATAATATGATAAATGTTAAGAGTGTTTAGAAATTGAGTTAGGATGTATGATGTGAATGCATATATGAGTATGCATTTTTGTTAGCTTCTATTATGGCCTACTGTGACTTGCTGAGCGAAAGCTCATTGAGTTTGTTCGTGTTCTAGGAAGCTCGGGTAAGGCACTGGCTACCTGAAACCTATTTGCTGGGTATGCAGAAAAGGTTGTCGCAGTGGGATGTGGAGAAGTGGATGATGGATGCATAGCAGATTGGGAAACACTACAGTATGTGAAAAATGTAAATAGTGTTTATGAACGTAAAGTAAACGAGTTATGTAATGAATGTAAAGTTTATGAAGTTACGAGGATATGCATAGCAACCTTAAGTTACAAGGTATGCTGATGTACTCAAAAGGTTATTATGATGATGGCTCGTGAGCGATGATGGTATGCGAAGAATAGATTGGATGTATGACCATGTGAAGGAACAATTATTTAATGTTAGGAGGTTGAAAGTGTATTCAACAAAGTATGTAGGATTTATTCTACTAAAGGAGGGAAAAAATAGTCTAAATTTTAGGAGTTTATAGTTCATAAATGATAGAAATTAGTAAACGAGTTAAGTATGAACGTAGTATGATGACTAAAAGTAAGGGTCGTCACAACTTATGCACAACCTTTCTTTTATATTTCCTATTAGCGCTACTTCTCTCTTACTTCTAAAATCTTTTCAGATTAACCTCTTTTTTCCTATTTTGATCTATTTTCTTTAACAAAAAATTTAACTCGTTCATCGTATCTTTGAAAACGCGTTTTTTTTTAGCAAATGTATTCTTACAACACGTATTTCTTATGCACCTCCTTGCTTCCATATTTCTTATTATCGCTGCTTCTCGCTTGCTTCTAAAATCCTATTGATCTATTTGTTTATTTATTATTTCTAGTCATTTTACTTCCATCCCTTCAAATAAAACGAACAAAAACAAGAAATAACGTAGTTGACATACGTGTAAAAACTAATGACTCAAGCTCAATGGAGCATATTTTGACATTTGATTACAACAACATTGATATTTTCAAATTATAAAACTAAAGTTGATGTTTACAACTTTCAAAGCTTAATGTTATGAATGAAAGTAGATTTAACATTTAAATTAACATTATATATTGGAGTATAAAAAATAACATACTAAATATATTATTTTCACACTTTTTAGTACTAAAAATGACATTGGCGTTAACATTTACTTTAAAGATGATCTACATGTACTTAGTTCAAAAATTTTCCTTCACTAAATTAACTATAACTTATCCATTTTAAATATTTATTCTATAATTCTTCAACATGTCATTTTAATAAAGGTGACCTTAATTTTCATGCTAGAAAAATATTTTTAATCAAAATATTCTAATTAAATATACTTTTTTTTAATATGACTTTGTTGATGTCCTTGTTTTCTATTTTATTAATTTAATTTGTTTGACTATTGTTTTTCTTAAACTTTTTCATTCATATTTATTTGAGAATTCATATAATCAATGCTAGCACATGCAAGGGACGAGCTTCATTTTACCAGTATTCTTTAAAAGATTCTCAAGATAGAATATCAAGAAAACGTATGTTCTTTAAAAGATTCACCAAAAGAATGACAAGGTAATGAGGATAAGAATTGCAAGGATAGGAATTGCAGATAGAAACAGCCCTAATTTCTCTCTCTCTCTCTCTCTCTCTCTCTCTCTCTTCTCTTCTCTTCTTTGTTTCTCTACTTCACCTTCCTTTCTGTTTCCCTTAATCCTGTATCGGTCCATCTTGTGTACAACTCTAGCTTTGAAGATCATAGAAATGGTAAAGCTTTATTTGTTCATAATTCATGCTGGAACTCTATATACATACGCATATGTATATATTCTTTGTGAATTTCGATTTATCATACAATTTTCATCTTTTATTAGCTTTCCAATTTTTCTGTTATCACTTATCTTGCTAGGATAAGATGCGTATATATAAAATATTGACGAGTCAAATAGAATGACTAGGTGTTGGTAAATCTGATCAGAATCAACTCCTATAATTTTCGTCAAATTCCTTATAATGAAAATTTTGCCTTCTTATATGCTGGTCAAATATATATATGCGTTGGACTGGGAATGAGTTCACGAGATGTTTGCACTCTATAACTGCATCGCATGTCTTTCCCCGCTTTTCCCTCTTTTCTCTCTCTTTTTTGTTCTTTTTTTTACCCTTTTCTTTTTCATAAATGCCTTAATCATATAAAGTAGAACTGACTAATTCTATTTTTGATTTTCCAGGTTTTAAGCACGCATAAGATCAAGAGAAGAAAGAACTGGAATATGACGTAACAAACCAGAGTGCTAAAGGTAAATATATGTTAGGCCATTTCTGATGCAAATGCTAGTACTGATTGTATATTAGATACCAAAAAGTGTGATAATAATATATTTGACATGTTATTTTTATTTAGATGATTGGTTCAAATCCCCATGGAATTTGGGTTCACATCGGTTAGATATTGGTTTAAAACCACCACAAACTTGTGAAACAAACGGGCAATAAGTTTTGAAATTTTTAAAAGTAAATTTTTAATTTTTAAAATAATTTAAAAATACAAATGTTACAATAATTAAATAAAGAAGTAAACATATCAACTAATAATATTTAAATGTCAAATTTGCCGTGCTATATTTGGTGGCAAATTCACCACAAACTATATAGCATATGGCAAATTTGCATAAACATTACATTAGTGAGTTTTTCTACACTCAAATGCCAAATTTGTCATTGACACATCTACTATAACGACACATTGGAGATGTTATTATTTTCAATTAATTTTCATTAATTAGTATATTTTGTTTTGTAAAAAAAAAAACACAAAAAAACACAAAAAAAACTTCAAATCTGCCCGAAGGGAAAGGAAAAAACCACAAGAAAAAGAAAGCTTTGAAATAAAAGAATTCAACCTCAACCAAGTTGTGTGCCTTGAAAGTGCGTATAGGTTCACCATTTTCCTATCAACAATTAGAAGAGTACATGGAAGAAATTAAATGTATATTACATTGCATTGGATATCTAAAAGACACTGTACAGCTCATAGTTGCTTGCATTGCAGACTATCATAAAGTCTCACAGAGAGAAGTAAAGGATCTGTTGCTCAACGAATTAGTAAGCAGAGATAGTCTATGCATGGAATGATTGATGGCGGAGACAGCGGTTAGCTATCTTATCGACAAGCTAATTCCACTATTGACTGAAGAAGTGAACTTGTTGAGAGGTGTTCATGGAGAAGTTTTAGAAATCAAGAGGGAACTTGTGTTCATTCGGGCTTTCCTCAAGGATGCTGATCAGAAGGCAGAAGTCGAAGGTGACAATGGCGATGGCCTTAAAGCATGGGTTGAAGAGCTAAGAGAAGTTGCATTCAAAATAGAAGACGTTATTGATGTGTATATATATCACATGACGATAAATCGTCCCGATCCTCATGGAGTCATTGCTTTCCTCCATAAAATTGGTCGCTTTGTCACAAAACTAAAACTGCAGCGTCACATTGCGACACAAATACAAAAAATCAATCGAACCGTTCGAGGTATTAAGAAAAGAAGTACAAGCTATGGCTTTGATTCTCTACAACAAACACCCATGAGTGATGCGCCTCAACAATGGAATGACCCTCGGAGGGCAGCCTATTTCCTTAGAGAAGCTGAAGTTGTGGGTATTGAATCTCCTAGAAATAAATTGATTGAAATTTTGAAAACACATTCTCCAGAACGCATTGTGATTTCAATAGTCGGGTTAGGGGGTTCAGGAAAAACTACTCTCGCCAAACAAGTTTACAATTATGTAAAAAGAGACTTTGATTGTCATGCTTGGATTGCAGTTTCAGAACCATACAGTGCAAAGGAGCTGCTAAGAAACCTAATAAGGAAGGTTTACGCAGCAACTGAAGTATCCGCTCCAGTAACTATTGATACAATGGATGAGCAATCACTAACGGAGCAATTGATAAACTACTTGCAGAACAAAAAGTATTTTATTGTTTTCGACGATGTCTGGAATAAAGAATTTTGGGGAGATGTAAATTTTGCTTTTCCAGAAAATGGTGGAAGGATAGTGATCACGGCAAGGAAGAATGAGGTTGCTAGTTTTTGCAAAAGATCAGTATCTTCCGTCCATGTCCATTTGATGGAACCTTTGCCTCCTGACAATGCCATGGAACTATTTTGCAAGAGGGCTTTTCTATCGGAACCCGGACGGTGTTGTCCTGCCAACTTAGAATATTGGTCTCGCAAGATTGTTGCTAGTTGCCAAGGTTTACCACTTGCAATTGTAGCCATTGCTGGTCTTCTGTCAACTAAAAGCAAGGTCCCTTTTGAATGGCAAAAGTTTTATGCAACCCTCAGTTCAGAGTTGGTCAATCATTCTGATCTCAAAAGCACAACAAGAATACTATCGCTCAGTTATTATGATTTACCTTACTACCTCAAATGCTGCATATTGTACTTTGGAATTTTTCCAAAGGGCTATTCCGTTAGACGTGGTAGATTAATTCGCCAGTGGATAGCAGAGGGTTTTGTGAAACCTCAAAAGAACAAAACCTTGGAGGTTGTTGCAAAAGAATACTTATCTGAGCTAATTGATAAAGGTTTAGTTGAAAACGAGGAAGGGAAAGCAAAGCGTTGCCGTGTTCATGATCTTCTTCATGTTGTCATCTCACAAAAGATGGAAGAATCAAGATTTTGCCAAGTTTTATCAGATGAGTCACCAACTTTTGAAGGAGTAGCTCGTCGCCTATCAATAATCTGTAGCTCAGACAATATTTTGCAAACAACTGAAATTTCCCGGGTTCGTTGTCTTTTTATGTTCAATGGGGATAAGGAGATGCTCAATTCTACTGTTAATGCACTTGCCACAAGTGTCAAGCTCCTAAAAGTACTTGATTTTGAAGACACTCCTTGTTTAGATCATCTCCCTGAAGATATTGGAGACTTGTTTCACTTGAGATATTTAAGTGTGCGTCGTACAAAAGTGAAGCTGCTCCCAAATTCCATAGGAAAACTGGTAAACTTGGAGACTTTGGATCTATCGCAGTCATTGTTTTATGGAATTCCTGCAAGTATTAATCGGCTTAGTAAGTTACGTCATCTTTTTGGCTGGAGATATGGCAACAACACTGAACTCTTTTCTTTCGACAGAGTAAGAGGAATAAAAATACAGAGAATCGAGTGCTTCAAACACTTGCAGAAGTAATATCACATTGAAGCCTATATTGACGGTGCTTGTATAATAGAAGAGCTTGGAGCTTTGACGCAGTTAAGAACATTGGGCATTTTTAAAGTGAGAAGTCGAGATGGAAAAAGTCTATGTGGTTGCATTGAGAAAATGAAATACCTCGAATCCCTTGTAGTGAGATCGATAAGTGAAGATGAAACACTTGATTTAGATTCCATTTCACATCCCCCTGAATTTCTTCGGTGTCTCCGTTTATCGGGTCCTTTAATGACATTGCCGAGGTGGATCATGAAACTTCAAAATCTTGCTAAGATTTCAATTCGTTGGTCGAAATTGGGAGATGATCCATTGAAAGTCCTTGGTAATCTGCACGAGCTAGTGGAGCTTGATATCAGCACTGATGCATTTGTTGGTGAACAACTACACTTTGAAGGAGGTGTCTTCCCAAAACTTAAGGTGCTCCGACTTCAGAGCTTGAAATGGTTGAGTTCATTGATCATAGAGGAAGGAGCATTGCGCGACCTGGAAAAGCTTTACTTGGGGCCTACGCCACAAATGAAGGAGGTGCCAACTGGCATAAAACATTTAAAAAATCTTAAATTCCTACGCTTCGTTCGCATGCCAGATGAATTTGTGTCAAGCATGAATCCAAAAGAAGGACACAGCTATCATATCGTTCAGCATGTAGTACCATTTGTCTTTTTCCATTGTGCTGACGACCAATTCTACCGTCTGCACGATTCTGGTCTCCAACAATTGTTAGGTAAAATATTTTCATTTTAAATTTAGATTATGAGAGATTCTTTGAACGCTTATCGGTAGGTTCAGATAATTATGAGAAGATATCTTAAATTATGTTCATCACCTCTGAATTTTTGTTTTTTCAATTTCCATTTGAATAGTTCGTAATCTGTCATGAATATTTTTAGTCCTAAACACGTGTGTGAATACATATACAATTCTTTGTTGTTTCTTTTCCTTTTTTTTTTTTGTTTGTTTATCTTTCCAATGTTAGTGGCAGAGCCACATTGTATTTTGTTAGGATGCGTGCCCGTTCATCTTTTCATGTTTGAATTTTTACCCTTATTTTGCATTATTATTTTTTTTTTAAAATTAGTTACGTCTCTATTTGGTAAGAAAAATTACAAATATTCTCCCGTTGAATAATTAAAATATATTGTTATGTTTTCATATTATAAGAAAAGTTATGATTGTATCTCCACTCATTGTAATTGAAATATATAAATATTTCTCTGTTTTATAATATTCCTAATTGTTTTTTCATAGTTTCCTTGCGTAAAGAAAAAAAATTCTGACCCAAAGGAATGTGATGGAGTTGAATATAATTATAACTTGTCTTCCCATACAGAGCCAAGAAAGATCAGAAAATGAGCGGAGTCAATGGACAGTAAGGAGCATGAGTAAGCTTATTAACTTCCTTCTAATTAATTGATTACCGAATTTTATCTAAATTTTACATTACTTCTTTTGATGATTCATTTTATGTTTATCATTGACATCTTCCATTGTTAGGCCTTTTCTATCAATTGCGCATGGGATTTTCTCAAGCCAGAGCACCGGAGTACTTTTGTTTAGTTGTAATACTCGCCCAAATAAAATTATTAAATAAGCAGTGACTATGTATTGAAAAACTACTGCTTGTTATGGACTATGTATTGATTTCATTAGTAAGACTACTGCTAGTTTGTAGTTATGTATTGAAAAACTTGTTAAATATTGTTAAAGATGATAAGCCACTCAAACACAGGGATGATGAGACGTATAATCATATTTTCTTTTAGATTTATTTTTAGTTTGTACTCAACATATTTAATACTTTTTTCACATTATATTTGATAGTTTTAAATCTCTTACCAGTGAATTATAGTTTAAAACTATCGAGTTTTCTTCATGTTTTCTACGATGAGCAACTTTATTTTTTATAGAAATACGTCTTGAGATACTTTAGTTATGCATCTTGAATAATATTGAAAGTAAAAATGTCATAATTCCTGTTCCACACCAGTAAAACTATTGTCCTATCCAAGTTTAGTTACCCTTAACTACTACTACTTCTCGACGAAGTGCCATAACTTTTTTTAAAAAAAAAAGGACTATTACTATTTTCCCTTTCTTTTTAATTTTTTGATAATTTCCATTTTCCTTTTTTATTTCATGAGTTTACTTTCCGTTTTTTTTTTTCCCCCTCTTCCCACCGTAGTAGTTCTAAACATGCTTAGCATGTCTGGTGTGTGTATGTATACAAAACTGGTAAGTCCGGCAATTCTACGATTAACTAGAAAAGACATTGTTAGTTCTGTAAAGGACTTTCAAAATGAATAGCGAAAAGGAAAAAGTAAGAGTAAACAGGGGCAGAAGAGAAAGAGGGAAATTGACATGCCATTACAAATGTGATGCACATTGAAAAAAAATGCGTGTGAGAGTCTTATAGGAACATTATTAGACTTCAAAGGAAAATTGAAGGATGGACTTGAACCCGTAGAGATTTGGAGCTTATGGGAATTAGAAAGGGCTTACTTCCACAACAAAGAAGGAGTAAATTTTACCCTCCTTTGGCACCTCACAAAATGTCAAAAAAAAAAAAAAAAAAAAAAAAAAAACCCCCTTTGGAAAAAAAATGATTTTGTTTTTAATACGAAGTAAAAATGAGATTGTTTGGAGAATCAGTCTACAACCAATTCTGAAATTGTGTTTAGTTAGTTTTTTAAAAGATTGTTTTGAGTATAATAAAAAAGTAAAATCGTGTTTGGTTATAACTATTAATTAATATATTATAATATTGTTGATAAGTACAAGGAAATGAAAGCAGAAAAGAAAAAATAACTTTTAACAGTTTTCTAATTTCTTTACAAAAACTATTCTCACTATTTTTTGTTTTCATTTTTAAAACATTTGTTAAACAAATACGATTTATAGATCGTTTTCATTTTCATGCCTCAAAAGGCGTGTAAAAATATTTTCAAAAATAAAAAAAAATCAATTTTAAACACACCCGAATATTCTGTAAAAGGTTATTTGATTTGAAACTACCATATGGCTATAGCTGAAATATTGGGAATTGTATCATGGTGGAAGAATGTAAGATAAAAAACATTGTATTAAAATTTGAATCATCGTTTAAATATACTTACCAAACAAGTTCTAAAGAACTGTATTTCTTTGACTTGCCAATAGAATTAATGGAATGTAGACACAATTATCAAATCATTCATCACGTGCCATATTTTTTTCCATCTATATCAATGAACGATACCGTCTACATAAATTTGGTTGGAAGCGCTATTGAGGTAATTCCTGAATTTTGAAACATTGTAATTTTGTACTGCCCATGCAATATTGCCCTTTCTAAATTTGTCTCCAAACACAACAAAAAGCGGATTTATAGAGAATATCATGGGAATTTATAACGTAAGCTTTTTTCTGAATTTTTATATCTCTCTGTACACAATATACAGTTCCAATTGCTGTAAGATGCAAAAAATTGATCGATAGATATATAAATAAAATGTTATATAATGCAGAGTTATGCAAAATCAGGATAAAAAAAGCTGCGAGTGTTAGATATATAGTAATGTTATATTATATTGAATATATCTGGCGAATTTTTATATTTTCTTTTTGACAGTGACCTTTTGTTTTTATTCTTATTTTTTATTTTTTGTCTTTTGGTTTGATCTCTAATCTTTTGCCTCTTACATTTTGCTTTTAGCATGTTTCACTTTAGTGTTTGAATGCCACTTGTTGCCTTGGTCAAATACACACTACACCTACCCAATGGTGCTATGATAAGATTCTAACTAATCACAAAACAATACCCATTAATAAATAAATATTAAACTAATCATTAAAATCATACTCATATATCAACAATATATATATAAATATATATTATGTACATCATCCAAGGCGCATTGGTTATAAAATGTCTATTATTTCAGCTAAGAGAGATCCACTACAGAGGAAATTGTATTATAAATATATATATATATATATATATATATATATATGTGAATGAGTATTAATTGAATTTACTAGGCTACCATTTTCAATATCTATCTTGAAGTTTATGTATATATATATATTGCTTAATACTTAATAGATGTCCCCGATTATATCGACATCTTGATGGAATGCTGTCTTAATCACTTTCAATTCCCCTGACCAGCTTATGAATTAATAATCCTGAAAAGAGCAATTCTATGCAGAAAAACATAGTTCAAATGCAATAATATGTTGTAAGCCATGTGACCATTGTAGAGGGTGAAATCTACAATTAAACTTGTTACAGGTTAATAGCTAAATTCAAATGATTAGAGGGTTAGTATTCTGATCACATAAAAAATAAACAGACAAGAAAAATAAAGAGAGTGAGACACATAAATTTATAGTGGTTTTTTATAATAATTCATGGTACGTCGACTGTAAAGCATACATATATTCCACTATTAATATTGATGAAGAATACAGTGCTAATCTCTGTAAATGTCGGGAGAATGCTATTGAAAATACTGAGAAGTATGTAAAAGCGGTGAAAAAACTCCTAGGAATGCTTGGAAGTGGTGGAGGCGTGCTTTAGGGTGCGTGATCGTGTCTCTTGTGTGTCTCTTTCTTCCTTAGACATGCATGAGCTGTATTTATAGGTCTTGGTTGCTGAATAAATTATTTAAGGCAAGTTTTCCATTTTACTTTTGATTGAAGATCCTTTCTTTGTAGAGAAATTACTTAGGGAGCAAGTTTAGGTGGAGATTGACTTTCCCTTTTGCTATTCTGAAGCAATATCTCATGGAATATGGCTGTTGTGATCGTGGAATTTATGATGAAATTCAGTTGCTGAGCTGGCAGCCCCGGGACTGGACTGGTCGTTCGGGTAATGGACCACTGGACTGATCGTTCGGGCAGCCGACCTTGTTGACGACTAGCAGGTCATTTTTGGTAGCTGATTTTGTGATTCAGCCCCATTCTCTGATAAGTGTGTTGACATGTATATGATAAGAAATGAGGTATGAAATTTGGCTTGCCTAGAAACTTATTCTCCATAATTTTCCTCATTGGCTCCACGCGTTTCGTGTCAGGTGTGGATGCACGCGCGCATGAGGACCGTTTACAGTGCTTGATCCAACGGACAGAAATTAATTCTGAAATTAAAATTAAAATTAATAAAAATAATATATTATAACCGAATTTTTAGCGTTTGAAATACCAAATGTATCCGTTTATATACCGTTTGGCTCCAAATTTCAAACACTACTTAGCTAAAAATAAAACACATAAAATTAAATAAAAACACATTAAAATAAATTAAAACATACCAAATTGATTAAAACTAAAATAAAACTCAATAATTTAAAATTTAAATAAAAATATGTACAAATAAATTAATACTTATAAAAAGTCTAAATTTAAGGGATTTAATTATGCATAAAATAATGATTATCAAGAGACAGCTCTAAATTTCTCTTTTCTCTTCTTGGTTGACTCCTTCACCTTTCTTTCTATTTCCCTTAATCCTGTATAGGTCCATCTTGTGTACAACTCTAGCTTTGAAGATCATAGAAATGGTAAAGCTTTATTAGTTCATAATTCATGTTGCAACTCTATATACATACGCATATGTATATATTCTTTGTGAATTTCCATTTATCATACAATTTTCATCTTTTATTAGCTTTCCAATTTTTATGATCTGTTATCACTTATCTAACTAGGATAAGATGTGTATATATAATATGTTGACGAGTCAAATAGAATGACTGAGAGTTGCTAAATCTAATCAGAATCAACTCGTATATATATTTTCGTCAAATTTCTTATAATGAAAATTTTGCCATCTTATATGCTGGTCAAATATATTTGCGTTGGACTGGGAATGAGTTCAGGAGATGTTTGCACTGCGACAAACACTCTATAACTGCATGGCATGTCTTTTCCCGCTTTTCCCTCTTTTCTCTCTTTTTGTTCTTTTTTTTCCCCTTTTCTTTTTCATAAATGCCTTAAATCATATAAAGTAGAACTGACTAATTCTATTTTTTATTTTCCAGGTTTTAAGCATGTAAAAGATCAAGAGAAGAAAGAACTAGAATCTCACGTAACAAACCGGAGTGCCAAAGGTAAATATATATTAGACCATTTGATGTAAATGCTAATATTAGACACCAAAAAATGTGATAATATTTAAAAGTTGAATTTAAAAGTTGAATTTAAAAAACTTGAATTTTAAAAGTTCAGCTATAATATTTTCACTTACAAAATTTGAATTATGGTTACCTTCCAAACGGGCCCTAAAGGGTTATTTGGTACACGGGTTTGGACCACGTGGTTCAAACCTTTTCACTACATTATTTTTTCTCATAAAAATCTAAAGTTTGGTTCAAACTTTCTAGTTTAAACTTGTGAACCAAACAATAACTGAGGTTCCATTTGCTTCGCTGGTTCAAATTGTGTGGTTTTGAACCATTTGAGTTTGAAATAAAAATTCTAACCCCCATGTTGGTAACATGATCGGTACTAGGTTGCCAATCATTGCTCCGCCCATTACCTCGCTGAATAGGCCGTAAACATTGTTAAGCGTTCAGCAACCCATCCGAACAGGATATTCGAACCTCGTTTTCTACTCGTCGTCGAGTGCAGGGTAGAGAAATCTCAACAAAGCACTCCTCAACCTTTGCCTTCCAAAACACACGTTGAGAAGGGTTCCCATGTGTGATTCTCTATTAGAGATCATCTCCACCGTCCATTTAGACAATTGTACAACCGGTGAGAATCAATGACACCTAGACCTGCTCCAAACAGAACCATATGG